TAATAGTATAAGCTATGTATGTTTTTAAATATTAATTTAATCTAAACAAACGTCGACATTAAAATTAATATATAATAACAAATTCGTTACATGGGTGAAGGCCAAAGCCTACTAATTTGAATCTCTTTCAAGAAGAACAATGTTGTTTTTAATTAGTGAGCAGGGTTATTCTTGTTGACAAACTAGATAATAGTTATAAAATGGAATCACCCTTAATCTTTATCGGTTGCTGGCTATCTGATCTAACAAAAACTAATCACCGCTTTCTTGTATCAGGAACTTGAAAGTTTATTGATGTGTTTAAGGCAGTGTTTGGGCTTGGAAGAGCGGGACTTAATGTAGTTTTCAGTTTCCTTTAACTTCAGTGTAAGATTGGTTTGGTTTGAATTTTGCGCAAAGCCACACGAGGGCTATCTGCAATAGCTGTCCCTAATTTGGCAGTGAAAGACTAGAGGGAAGGCAGCTAGTCATCACCACCCACCACCAACGCTTTTACCAACGAATAATGGGATTAACTGTCACATTATAACTCCTGCACAGCTGAAAGGACGAGCATGTTTGGTGGGACGGGGATTCGAACCTGTGACCCTCAGATTGCGAGTCAAGTGCTCTAACCATATGGTCATGCCAGGCCCTCAGTGTAAGAGCTTCTACAGCTTTTGCATTAAAGATTAGTACATATTCTTTGTTCTCCACTCTTGTAAGTATTTAGCAAGGGCCCTGCGGTTTCTGTGGAGTTCTGTTTTAATTTCATTGCGAATTTAAAGGACAGCATGTCCTGCTCTCAAATTTACTAATTTTATTTTAGTTGCATTTGCCCTAAGCAAGTGAAAGTAGGGCTTATTCACAATAAGCATGGAGCAGTGTAACATGTAGCAAATATTCCACACATAGAGGTAAAAGTTATTTTTAAGAGTTCTGTAACAAAAGTTGGGATCTTGAATTTCACCACGAAAATTCTTTGAAATTGTTTTAGTGTTTTGCTTGCATTTAACTTGGGAGTATGCTTAGTTATCACTTAATATTTTTTATATTTCAGGTTAATTGACAGAGAGCAGAACACAAACTAACAATAGCTCTATTTTTTCATTAAAGCTTTCATAGCTCTTATCAATTCTACATACACACATAGGATCACTTCCCCAATTTCTGTTACATTGTAGTGTATTGTTTATTTTATATTGTAAACTGTGAAAGTGTTATTAAACAATTATTGCCAGTGTGAATTTATGTCTAGTCTGTGCAAACTATCTTTTACAATTCATCAGGAAATATACACCCAACTATAAGTGTTATTAATGGGTCTAACCTTTCTGCTCTTCCAGTTACTTGAGAGATACCACAGCCATAATAAACTATCACGATTAATAAAACAATACAAAAAATTTAAATGATATTCATTAAATTTTATGTCAAAAGATAAATTGCATAAATTTGTAATAATTAATAAATTTTCTGTTGATTAAGATGATTATTTGTTGATCAATTTTGTAAACCATGAGGGTTATGATTGGAAGTTACCAGTGAGAAATTTTAGCATGTCCACATCACATCTGGTAATTTAATCCTCTAAAAATTAAGCATGTAAACCAGATTAGGGCTCTTTTGGACATAACCAGGTCAATACCAATAACTCAATACAAATTCTAGGGGGTGCTTTTTTTTCATATTCATCAATTTAATACACACATGAAAATGTCTTACCAATCTTTTATTTTGTTTTAGTTTATTTTCAAACATTACAAGTTTCAAAAGGCCAGCAGGAAGTTATGTAGATAATTATAAATGTGGCATATATCCATACAATTCTACATGGTACTATGCAACATATATATGTTTGCTTTCATTTTATCTGTAAACAAAAAAGCCATTACAATATCATAAAGCTGAAAATCATTAATAAAAATTTCCCAATATTTTTGAAAATATTAAACAGTTCAGTTTTCTATAATTCTTAGAAGAAAAATGTTTATAAATTTTTAAAGATCTGTTGGCACAAATCTATCACTTTCCTCCAAAGTGACTAAGATCAAGGAAAGTATACATTAAATCTAAACTAAAAAGTTATGCACTGGTAAATGCATATATGTGTGTGTTAATACCTAATAAACAGAATTGAAAAAATCATCTAGTATTTAACCCTTCATTTGCAGTTTGTGTAAGTCTGCCTACCACCCCATGCACAAAGATTCGCATATTTTTGTGGAAAGCCATTCAAAATGTTGCACACAAAATGCTTGCATCAATGATGTCAACTGCAGATGAAGGGTTAAAAATAGTTTTAGTGATCAAAAGTTTTTGAACAGTGAAAATCGAATATATTTTAAGTAATTAAAACACAACAAACAAAAACAATAAAATCTAAACTGGTCCATAGCTGTGCTGTAAATAATTGCAAGAGAGTCTGTTTTTATTAGTACTACTACTTGTTTGTTTGTGTCGACGTGTACGTCCACAACATCAATATAATATTTTATGCTTATATTTATACATTCAAGACACATACAGGTTTTGCATTTGAACCCTACCATCTTATGTCTCACAAAAGACAAAATTTATTATTCTACTCCAACATAACATATATGAGATTTGTTCACTATAATATGAATATTCCTTTAAATTTTCCTCAACAAATTTGAAAGCTGATACTCTTAAACCAGATTCTGCTATTGGTCACATACTCTTAAACCAGATTCAGCTATTGGTCACATACTCTTAAAACCAGATTCAGCTATTGATCACATATTCTTAAAACCAGATTCAGCTATTGATCACACAATTTAGTAGTTGTTCTTAGGAGAAAACATTTAATCAGAAATGATATGAAAATTAGGCTTGATCTTTCTGTTGAATATTTTTATGTCTAATTGTGCAGTTTCCTTTTTAAAACTGAAATAAGGTTCCTTGTATCAATCCACTTTTCAACAACATTTCTCGCATGTGTAAATACTACAAGAAAGGTTTATTTGGAGGTACTTATGATATCAATGCCATATTGATTTTGCTACACTCACGAATAATGTAGATTCAAGAATTTAGTAGGAATAAGAAAACTAAAATAACTGAAAAGTTTATCATCAAATATATTACATAACTTTTAATTTTCATGATAATAGTATAACTGCCACCACAACATAATTTTTAGTTGTGAAAATAATGACAGCAAGTTGTAACTACATATAATTGTTACCTTTTTACTTCACATTCTTGAAACAAAAGTTAATAGAAAGTTCACCAATTTCATAGGCAAATGAGTCACTAAACAATTGCATTTGCTTGATGTAACCCCATTTCCATTATAAGATAATCAACTGCAATAATTAGCCACTACTCTATTATAAATACTGGTAAGAACTGTATGAAGTGCTACACATGGATTGACTAATCTCAAGGCTGTAAAACAAACAGATGTCAAGATATTTAAAAAAAAATTTATGTCTTTTGATTCTTTTTAACTAAACCTCAAAAACAGGAAAAGTCATCAAGAAGTTATTCTTGAAGTCTCCTCACTACTCATGAACCTCACTTAATTTTAAGTATTGAAACCCAAGAATGAAAAAATTATTAAGAAAAAAAAGCAGTGATTATTTTTTTCCATAATACTTAAGCTTTATAATCTAGTATACAGTGAGATGAAACAGCATGTAATTTGAAGACAAGCCACTGCTTTTCCTTCAGGTTGAAAGATCACAGCCATTGAAAAACTAGTATTAACTGTCTATTGTTTACTTTAAGATTAAAGTATACTACACCCAAAAAAAAGTACAAAACTTATTTTTAAAGCCTTCTTAATGATGACTGTACTTCAAGATTAAGGTGATACAAAAAATGTGTGTGCTTCTATAAGTCATTAATCAAAGAATGTAGCTTAATAATAAAACAGAAAACACAGAATTAAGACTTATATCATAATTATTTAAGTGACCTGAATAATAATAAAAAAATTCTTATAACTTTCATTATTACAATTCCCCACCCACACACAAGTAAAAACCAAAACCAAAATTTGGCTGCTTTGTTTTTACTTGTTCTATTTGTTATATAAACCTATGCATGGTGTACCAAAACTGATTTTTGTACTTGAGCAAGTTTTTTTTTTCCTTTTCTGACTTCATTTTTTCTTGGCTCAAATGTGTCTGGTAAATCATCAATCCTCTCCTTTTTAAATTCTATTGGCTTTACAGAAATACTGTTCTGCTTGTAGATACATTAAGAACAGAATGAAAACATTAAAATGCCTAATCAGTGTTAATTTAGTTCAACAGAATATTTCTCTTTCAAAATCTCATCAATACAGAGAAAAGTTGGAAATTTAACCAACCTTATGTAACAAAGTCCAGCAACCAGTGCAAAAATTCAGTCACAAGAGTTGTTCACTTTCACTGTGCAAGTATACCTTTGAAGTGCTTCAAGTTGTTTACTCAATATCCCTTAGTTCACTTCTTTTATTCAAAATGACTGAATTACTCCATGTTATAACTATCATAACCTTGCAATATTAGTTTTTTCTTACTCAACAACATTGGGAGCTGCTTTAGGTTTGTCTCTGAAATCACCATTAACTACAGGGATGCCATCTCCATCTTGTACTCGGATATTTGGGTTAAAGTGAGGGTCTAGCATAGGATCATATTCAGCACTGGCACGCCCCCAGCGGAGTGACAGAAGCACTATTGTACACAACCCTATAGACACCAACACTGCAAGTATTATCCAGCGTTTATACAAGTGAGGTGGACCTCTCCGTTTTTTGTTGCCAGTGGAAGTACGGGATCTGATGAAAAGTGTTAAAAACAGTTATCCCATATAATCCTCAGAAAATAGAAATTAAGCTTATGTTTGAATAAAAAGCTTACACCAGTTAAAATGACAGATTAAATTATGTGTTAACAACTGTATTAAAATAATTATTTTTGTTGTTAAGTATGTAAAATTAAATCATCTATACTGTTTATAATTTAAGTCCACACAGACAAATATATGTCAGTTTATAAGAAAGATCTCTAAACATTTGTAAAATTTTAAAGCTCGAGACACTGTCAACATTGACAGTGGTTTCCATACTTCATAATATATGCTAATAAATATTTATAACACAAGAGATACAGGGGTAAGTAAAAGTGTGCATGTCACAACCTTAAAGAGTTACATTCAAAATTACACTTAACTATTTTATTATCAGTGTATGTCAATAAATTTTGCATCAAAACATAGTTGATTAATAAAATATTTTATAAAAGTCTTAATTTCAAAAGGAAATATTTAAATAAATTCTTAATTTTCACTAGTCTATATCACATGACACTCGTTTGCTCCGAAATGCATATTTTAGATGATATTTTCATCATATTTGAGCTTCTGAGTTTTAATGCAAATAAAACCTTATATTATAGATATTGATAGACAATGATAACATATAATCTAATTCTATAGCCTCCAATTATCTTGTTTTACTTAGATATAAACCAAAAAGTCCAATCCACATGCCAAGCCATCCTAACACATACCGTCCTTCAAAAAAAATGATGATAATTTTCTCTAACATTTACTATTATATTATTCATAACCAAAGAGATTGGCGTTTTTTTATATTGTATTGCCTTAGCATTCACTAATAAAGATTTTAAAATGTTGCTTGAACTGAAACTCTACTGTTTAAGATACTTTTTGTCTGAGTGTTCTATTAGTTTTGTCCAATTCCTGGTCAATCCCTATTATCAACCACTATTGTTGTTCATGATTATTACAAGACATTGTATGATTTGTTGATGTTATTATTCTGTGTTCTACGTTGAAAATCTGAAATAGATAGAAATTCAGTGAAGTACTAACAATAACCCTAGCAAGAATTAAGGTTAGTTTTTATCAACACCTCGAGTCCTTGACTGCAAAAAAGTATAAGACTTACATGCAAGTATTAAATTTCTTGTTTTTTATGCACATTTTTTATTCATTGTTATAAAAGTAACTAAAGTGTAAAAGTTAGAAGCTTAATAGGTTGTATAAGAAAACTTAAATGAAAAAAAAAAACAATTTCTCAGCAAGATATGTATGCAAGCTGTGTACGTGTTATGTAATTCAATACTTTGTTAAAACAATAAAAGAAATACAAACAGATGTAAAATGTTAAGACTGTGTCCATTTAGGATAAATATAATTTTCTGTTATAATCTGCAGTCATTCCAGAAAAAAAAAAGGGTAATTTAGATTTATTTTGTGATGGATACAAGGTCAGTAAAATAGAATGAACCCAAATTATGTTTCAGTAGATAAAATAATGAATGAAATATAAAAATTTTCCTGAAAAAATTATATTAATTTAGGAGGTTCTGGGGGTTATACAAATGAAATATGAAAAGTGTAGGATGAAAAAAAACATGTTTAACCTTAATATGAAAATCACCTTGCACTCAGACTATGACTCAATAAGTTCACAGAAAAATCTTTAGTAAAAATACTTAATTAAAAAATCTGATTTTTCTGTACAAAAAACTTTTAATGTTTACTAAAAGCTAGCTGAATTTTGTGAAGATACACTTACTAAATTAAAAGCTACACTATGTATAGTTTCATGGTTGTATGTTGATTAAAATATCAGTCAGAAATTATCAGTTATTTAGCATATATTAAACAACTGATACTGGCTCTCACTAATTTCAGAAACATGAATACATATTTTTGTGGCAATTGAATTTCAAAAGACATCTTGAAATATATAAAATTTAATAAAAAAAAAGGCACTTAGACAGCCAAATGGTGTGCAAGATTTAAAAACACACACAAAAAAACAACGTGCAAATAAAACCAAGTAAACAAACTAAGTTTAGGTTTTTAAACTCCACATAATATTTAGTAATTACTTTTTTGATTTTATTTAGTTTGTGTTAAGGTGTTTTGAAAATTTTTTTAGTGAACTGGTGTCCTTTTGTTTAGTTTTAAAACAGTTTAAATCAATATTTAAAACAAGAACACTTTATATAACTATGCCCTATATAACAGACTTGTTTGTGCACATACAGTCACTCCTATTATAACAGTTTATAAAACAAATCCACATTAATTATACTAACTGTATAATTAATGTGGATTTATTTATAGAGCAAAAATAGTGTGAAAAATTGGTCCCCATGTTAACAGATAGGGATTATTTGGATTTTCACGACCTTGACCTTTCACCTTGACCCTCCAAAAATTAATTACTTCTAAGTTACATCATAGTCCAAATATATTATCTTTCATCCAAATCCATTCAGCTGTTTGAGAAATCTTGGTGGCAAACACACAAACAAACACATACACACAGGGATGAAAACATAACCTCCGGCCACTTTTGGTGGTGCAGGTAACACAAGCCTGACACTTCCTCACTGTAACAAAGTCAACAGATACCTACTTAAACCATCTAGCAAACCATTCTAGAGCAGAACGGCGTTTATACTTGTCTTCATCATGGTCAACAGATGAGGCACAAAAACTATCATCCAAAGTAGCATCATAAACCTTCCTAGTTGATGACAGATACTGACCTGGATGGTTTCGAAAATATGGGATTAGAATTTCTACTATAAGCAAAATACTTATTTCTAAATAAATTATACAATAAAGTTTCATTTCCCCACCTCTAAGTAACCAAAACAATTTTATGACTTTAAAGCATTTATAAGCCTTTGAAAGAGAAGATTAACCAGTGAAATAAATGTTTGATTGCACAATTTATGTCACTATCTGCATTTCGTTTAGAAAGTAGCAGTTTTTCTTCCATGTGTCAAGAGATGTGCTAATGTAAATAAAAACTGTAGTACAAAAACTAAACACAGACATGAGGGGGTCATTAAACCCATTATGCACAAATTCAAATTTTCTGTTATATTGCTGGTGACAGAAACAGTGTAAAATGTTATATAATATTACAATGAGATGTTGTTTGTTGATGATATAAACTTGTATAAAAATACTTTCAAAGAGAAATTATCAGCTATATTATTACTGATATAAAATAAAAATATAAGTTTAGTTCTTAAAGTTCTGTACCACAAAACTTTTCAGCCATCTTGCAAGTGAAACAAATACTGTTGCAAAAACACTGATAACTATATTACTGATGATAATCAGTTACTATTTCTTTGTATGGTCTTATGATACTAAAAACTATCATTTGAGCTACTACATGAAAAGTAATACAAACTTGTGTAAAGCACTGTGAAAATAGATCTTTCAAACATACAGGCAGTGATAAAATTATACAGTACTTAAGTAATAAACATCATCAATAAAATGATACAGATAAAAAAAAAAGTATAGTACAACGTAATATAAAACGACATACTTTTCGTGATATACACCAATATTACAAGATTTAATTACACTAAAATAATGAATTCTGGTTCAAACCTGCTGTAAAAGGACCTGTGACACTGAAATGGTCAGCTCTGTTGTTAGCAATAGCATCCACTGTAACAAGATTATAAGTTGTGGTTGTGTTTGGATTTGAAGACGTTTCAGGTTGACAACTTGGCGGGGGCAAAACATTATACTGGTTTGTTCCAGTTGCTGGAGACGAGTCATCTGGAAGTTGTCTTGTTTGATTTTTTTCTATTATAATTTTCCCATCAATCTATTAAAAAATAATAACAAAAGATTCCTAGAAACATTTTGTAAAAGTATGATAAAGAACATATGTTCAAGTTTAATTTCTGGCTAAAACTTGACTTTATATTGCTATTAAAAACCATTTTCTCAAAGGTACATTAAGATAGATTCAAATATTTGGAATCCTTTTTTAAATTTAGCTTAGCTTAGAACATGGTAGCTATTTGGTGTTAAACCAGAGACCCGAACCTAGGGTTCGAGGCTCTGGACACTAGGGTGGTCAGAAAGAAATTTCTCTTTATCCTGCTTGAGAAATAGGTTTCAATAAACAGACATGGTCGAAAAAAAAATTGAATTATAGCATGCAAAAACCAAAGAGAAAACCACAGATTTTAACAATATTTTATATTTACATTTTAACATTTACCCAATGGCCAATATCGGACTTATGGACCTTCATGGTGGTGGGGGATCTATAGATATGATGCCTAGCCTTGGATGTGGAGGGAAATGGGAACACCCTGAGAAGACCCACTTTCACTGGTCAGGTGCAGAATAATCTACTAGATTAGTGCCCGATTAAACATGAGTGGTTTTATAACAATGTGATGGGGGCAAGGAAGGAGTGATCTGCAAGGAGGACTACCGTGCCAAAAAGTCCATTTTCGTGAATATACGACTGAGGGAGATGGGTGGATCAGGGAATGGTCGATCGTAGGGTGCGTCTTTATCTTCACTGATTGAAGGGTGTCAGAAAAATGAGAGCTGGGGAAGGAGCTTGTTGGTACGGGTGTTCGGTGATGGGGAAGATTGGGTAAAAGTGTAGATCCTTGAAGCATTAGGTGGGTTAGACAGCATGGGTTGGAAGGACAGGAAAGGATGGAGTCGTTTGAGAGAGAGCTTGGTGGCTGGGTTTTGTCGTTGGTGGGTTCAGTAGGTGGTAGGGTCTGGATGACTTTCCTCCTCTTGTAAAGTTTTGTTTGTGTAGACTAGGTGGTTGTAGTATTAGTGTCTGTCAATATTCAAACTTCTCAATTTTCATTTCTCTTTATCACATGACACTTCTTCACTCCAAATTGCCCATTTTAGATTTTATCCACTCCTATACAACCTTCTGAATATAGCATAAATTACACACTTACAGTGTAGATATCACTTAGACATAAAGTAAGCTTATAGCCTCCAATCTTCTTGCTTTACTGAGATATAAACCAGAAAGTCAAACCCACATGCTACACTCTCCTATCGCACCTAGTCTTTCAAAAAATGTCAATATTTCTCTCTGATTTGATATTGAGTTATTTATAACTAATAGAAAAAAAATAATAATCTAATTAACTGTAAGGCTATCTCATTCTGATGACAGTTTTGAATTATTGTTTCATTGTTTGCTATTCAACCCAGTTAGCTTAGTTGGAAAGACAGTTAAATTATAGAAATAGCCATGAGCATTGCATGTTTTGTGCAACTTAATACTGCTTTCTACATTGCATATCTGAAGTAAATGAAAATTAATACTACCAACAACCCTATCAAAAAGTAGGGTTAACTTTTGTCAAGACTGAGAGCAAATAAAATAAGAACCATATGTAACTATTAAATTTCTTATGTATGTGTTTTTATTTATTGTGATAAAAATAACTAAAATATAAAGATTAGAAACTTATTATGTAAGAAAATTTAAAATATATATATATATACTTGTTGTATCATGTGCAGCATGATTGTAATTTGAGTATTAGAACTCAATCCTTCGTCTACACAAAGCTGGCCCACTGTAATAAATTGCTTTCTCCATACTCAAGTGTAGCTGAAAGCAACAAATCTAAATGCCCGAAATATGAAAAATATTAGCTTTGGTTGTAAGAATAAATAATGTGCAATCGTCTGTTACAAAATACAGTTGTTCTAAAAAGAAAAAAGGGTAATTAGATATGATTTATACTTTTTTGTTACGTGGTGGTTAACAGGTTGGTAAAATCAACTGAGTCCACATGCAGTTAGTGTTAGGGAAGAGAAAACAACAGATAAGATATAAAGTTTTACAGAAAAACTTTTGATATTCATTAGGGAGGTTCTACAAAAGAAATAAGAAAACAGTAAGATGAAAAAGGTAGTTTTATTCTTGACATGAAACTCACCTTGCATTCCGACTAGTCAGAGTCAGACTGACTCAGTAAATTCACAGATATAAATTTATTTAAAAAAATTCTGATTTTTTGTATACAACATACTTTTAATATTTACTAAAAGATTACCAACTGAAGACATATATTGTAAATTCGGAATTATACTGCACATTAATTCTTTGATACAAGTTCAGTCCAATAGAATGACCCTATGCAGATAGGGTTAAAGCTGTGGCTCAAGCTAATGTTGTTTCTTCAAAATAAGTGCAGACATTCTAACGTGTGTTAAAAAAACTTAAAAACAACCCGTGAAAACCAAGAATCTACCAGTACTAATGTAAATCACTAGTACACATACATTAGCAGTTTAATTTTTTTTGAAAGTTTATCAAGAACAATTAACTCTTTCAAATCAGGGGCATGTCACTGATGTCCCTAGATTCTTTTCCTTCTCACAGTGGAAATATTAAACTAAACTGTTTGAAACTCAAACTAAATGGTATCTAGTTTCCACTTTAAAACATTTATAGAATTTGATTTAATTTTTCTATGTTCTGAAATTTCTAAAAATTCATATGGAAAAATACTTCCTTTCATTTCAGAATTTAAATTGCTTTTTTTAATCAGAAAGTTCCATTTTATATATCCAATCAGATTAAACTTCACTAATATTCATTAACATATTTCTTTTAATACATTATTTTGCCAATTACAGTAGTTACTACTTTTGGATATAAATCATAAAAAAATGCATCAACTGACAAAGATTTATCAGTAACCAAGGGCTGATCTTTGAATGTGATGATAGGTCAGATTAAGCAACAGTATTTTTGATAACAATATTTTTGGTTGAAATTAATTGATATCTAATAAATATACTTTATTTTCAATAAATAACAAGTTTTTTACTACATTGTTTGAATTCAATAAACTTCACAATAATATTGTTATAACCAATATTTTTATGTTGTAATTTAGATGCTAAGTAGAGGGTGCGTGACATTAAGATCAAGTAAGTTTATGAGAATAGGCCTAGAATATTCTAAATATATGTCTCAAAAACCTAGAGGTTTTGCAAAATATCTAGAACAGGGATTGGATATAATTATGGGTGAGACAGTTAATAATCTAAGTAGGCTTGCAGTGAACAATGAAGCATCAAGAAGATAGAGTTGCTTACCAGCTGGTAGAGTGAACCAGTCAGTGTGTTTTCATTTTTTGGGATTTATGTTAGCTATTGCGCATATTGCATAACTGTAAAAATAAGCCTGCAACAAGTTACAAAATGTACAAACCTGTAAAGAAACATTAAGGAAATAAAATCAATTTATCACTTACATGGACTGAATTTTTTTTTACCACATAATTTAAAAGAACTTGCCAAAAAAGACTAATTTTACATGTATCCAATAAATAAGGATTTCAGTCACTAGAATATTTTGCCATTGGTTACCAGGCCAGAATAAGGGGTAATTAAATGGACTGCAATTGCCATGCTCCCCCTGGATCAAAGGAGTCCTCGACTAAGGAAAAAAAAAATCAATTATTATTGTTTGTTTATTGTAGTTAAGCACAAAGTACATATCTTTGAGCTACTGGGGGCAGATTGTATCATTGAAAAACATATGTTTGCAACTGTGTCATAATAATAATGACAGTTTTAAGTGTTTCATATAAACCTATTATTTTGTAATATTTTAACACGTTCTTACAGCTTTTTCCATGAATATTTATTCAGCTCTTGAACAAAAAATGTCTTTATCATTATATATACATATATTTTAAAAATTAGAATAAGTATTTTATATATTATCTACCCATCTCTTATTATTATGTATTTCTCAACCTGCAGTTAATAAATAGTACTGAATTGTATTTGATTGATTTATGAAGTTTATTATAAGATACATTAATCATTTTTAAACTACTACAATCTATAATAGAAAGCAGCTTTGCCCATGAGCATAATGTATCAGTACTCAATCTATCATGATTTCTATTGGTCAGGGTCTTTTTGATTATTCGATGAAAACAATGCAAAACCCAGTCCATTTAATAATAACGAAACTGTTATTTTTCTTTGACTAAAATGTAAAAATTCTACAAAATAATGACCTAGCTCACTAATAAAACTAAAAAGTCACTTACAAAGTTTCTATTTTGTTAAAACACATAGATTTTAAGTATTGAATTGATTTACTAACTCAATTGCTCATCAACTGGTCGATTCAATCACTGACTAACAAAATACAACTCTCGCCTTTTGTATGCAAAAATCCCTCCCCCTAATGACTAAAAAATTTGAAATATCACATCAAATCTAGAAACTCAGGAAACATCTAGTTGTTACATGTAATCACTAGGTCATGCACATCTCTTTCTGGGTATTCAAGATTCAGACTACCAGAAAAATAACTGTGGTATGTGCAACAACCATTTCTTTATAACAGAACACAATTTTAAGTAAAGATACTTTCTCACAACAAGAACACAACTTTCACTAGGACTGTATGTAGTACTGAGAAACTGGAGTTCTTAAAAAACTATTATTTTGTTCAATAAACATTACCACTTTTAACATATAAAAACGTTACAGTTTATATCAGTAAAAGTTATGACCAGCTTGAGCTCTGTACAGTGAAACATTTTGATGCAATGAGTTGCATATGACTAAAGAGCACAATCCAAACACTTTTCCCATGCAGTAGTTCTCAGAAAAATATTTTTTTTTTCAAAAATGTTCACTTTTTCTAAATTTTTTCAAACAGGTATGTATACTACGATTAGCAATTACTAGTGAAACAGCTGCCCTACGGGTGGCATTTCTGCTAGTATACATAATTATTCATCTAATTTTTATATATTTTTTTTATGAAGATTAATTTTGCAATGTAATTTAGTTTCTGTATTTAGGACTAATGTATGTCTCCTAACTGGCTGAACCTGGTGATGTACTATTGGGATTCAGCCAAATATACTGATGTTAACAAGGGTACCTACTGATGAATCAATGCATTCTAATAATTACAAGTTTTTGGTTATGACGTAGCATACTTCTACTTAGAGCTACATTACTGATCAAGTTATTTTTAGTCCCAATCTATGTATGTGCCTGACTTGGATTAGAAGTTACTGATAACTTACATTGTTTATTCCCAGAATAAAAATTTAAAATGTACATAAACATGAGAACAGAATATATTCAGTCTCTGAACGAAAAAAATTAACACTATAAAAGCAATAAAAAATATTTGACTAATAATTCGCAAAATAATATTTCTTTTGCAAAAATATATAAAAAATATTATCCTGTGGGTTTTACTTATGTGACATGTGTGTTTATATCTGATTGTATTAATAATCACATGAAGGAATGGATATTCTTTAAACATTTTATAAACAACCACATTTCTCAAAGGACTTGATAATATGTACTTCATTAACACATGTATCCAAAGTTGCATTGCAAAGCAACCAGAGTCACAATTGTGACTGAATTATTAGCTATAAATGAGAATTATAGTGCCAAGGAAGATTCAACTCTTTAAATACATTATAGAATCATAAAAAAAAAATTTCACAAACTTCAGCAGAAAAAGTTTGAACTATTATTATACTTGGGTCTAAAGCAATAGTTAATAATTTATTTATTTAAAAAATACTATTTCTGACTCACCTAAATTAAAACTGTATCTATTATGTTTGGTGAATGTCACTTAGAACTCACAATAATGCTACTTTGTTAGTGGTAGAGGTAGCCTGTAGGCAGGTTTTACTTTGAAAATGAATTAAATAAACAAGTTAGCAAACAGAATAAGAATAATACAAGTAATCAAATACAACAGATACTAACAAAAATAAATATGATTACTCACTAAAGGTGTTCCCAATCCCTCTCGTGCCCAAGTTACTGTGACAAGTAATTTTCTGAGAGAATCAGCAACAGGTGACACAAGGTTGGATGCTGGAAAAATTCCAGAGCCACAAGTAGGACAAGTAAAGCCAGCAGGAGCTGTGTTTGGAGCTAACTGGCTAGCAAACTTATCCAAACATTGCCAGTGAAAAACATCTACAAAATTTAATACAAAAAAATGCATCATAAATATTTAGCTTATTATGCAAATTTACCACAGCGTACATTGCACTAATAATACTCTTATGTTGTTCTTATGACAATGATCATTAAACTCTTAAGTAATGAAAATTAACAGCCTTTCAGTAGCTACCTCCAACCTTCAATAAAAAATGTTATTAAAGAACAAAACAATATTTTTTGTGGGTGTTCAATTAAATAAAATTATACTAATAACATGCACTGACTGTGTACATGTATTTCTAAGCATTACATTATATTCTACCAATTAGCATGTATTCTTTTCCATATTTGGCAGAGAGCATATCAATTGGTTTGGAACATTTTCAATGTTGTTTTGAAAGCTGGGCAACAAATTACACCCAGTTGTTTAGGCCACTGCCATGTATGCATGGAATTGTATGCAGCACAGTGAAAACATGTTGATTCATTTAGAACTAATTATAATCAAATTGCTCAAAATTGTGAAATGAATGTGGTTTTAACTTATGGTGTAAACTTCAGTTACTCTTAGATGAAAAATTTAAGTCGTTTAGGCAGTCGAACTTTGCAGATGACAATTTTTTATAGCACAGTGAAAACCCGCCAATTCATTTAGGCCTAATTTACAAACATCAGAAATCTCACTAGCATTCTAGGTAAATTGAAGTTTGACAAATATGTAATTTATATGTTTACTGATATGATCACAAGATGATGGGTTACTTTATTTCAAAAATGAAATAATTTCTAAATCTTATTGACTTTTAGAATGAGATAATCTTTAATGAAATATTAAACTTTGCAGGCCTGGGGATATAGGCTAAATATACTAAGTAAAAATGCTAATTAATCAGCTTTTGGTAAAACTGAAAACAGAAATGGGGAAGTAGAATAAAACAATTACTAACTAGTGATTTCATTAAACGTGTCATTTGTTCCTGTAATAAGAAGTCAATACTTGTTGAGTGAAAACTTAGTAAATATCTCAAAAATTAGTATGTTTCATTAAAAAACTCAGATGTTTAACCTTCTCAAAGTAATGAATACTCTCTCTTTGTTAATAAGCAAAACTTACGATAGCATAAAAGACGCACGCATGTGTCTTTCCCAAGTGGTACCTTACATAGCTGGCACAAAGGATCATAATCACTGTCTTGAAGCCACTGAAGGTAAGATTGTACAATACACTGAAAAATAACAAAGAATAATGTGTAAAATATCTGTCACAGTATATGATGTCTTATTTAAGGTCTCATGTTACACACAAGTATACAAACGTCATTTTAACTATAAATAGAACTGCACATGATTAAAATAACCATTTTTAAAAACTGAGAAATGTGCTCAAGGAGTAAGTACATTTTTAATAAATATAATAATACTTACAGATGTAACTTTACAAAAAGCAATGTTCATTTTTCTAAAAAACAATTACAAATACAGAATTAGTTAATGATTCATTACATCATAATAGAAAATTTAGGAAAGCAGAAACACTCAAAAAATTTTTACTTTACAGAGATTATGTTGAAATGATATTCAAACATCAAGCTTATTACTGTTTTTCATATTACTACATTTATAAATATAATACTTATCTTACCAACACTGTTAACAATAAGAGTATCCAACTGATAAAACAATGCATTCCAATCTTTATAAATAGGGACATTATATTTAATTATATATATATATATTCATTAACAGGTTGATTTTTAGTTTTGCTCTAAAATTGGTAACTTGCTCCAGTCAGAAGTTAATATTAAATATTCTGTGTACTACAAAATACTCCTTTTTAAACCTACTCCTTAATTATTATTATCACTCAATATTGCATAAATATATCTGACATATAAAGAATATCATACGAACAAAAAATATATATATATTTTACAAATAAAACATCTTGAACTAACTTATTGTTCAAAACATATACTTGAACCACAAATTATAAGCTTGTTCTTACACTTTTCACTTTTGGTAAGGGTTCATAAACTGCATTATATACAGTAATTTTAAATTTTTGCTTGTTACAACATTTAGTGCACAGACAAAAAAATATATTGGGAAGCAATTAATTTTCTATGTAAAATGATACACAGAAGCCCCAGCAGTGATTAGTGGGAATACCTTCAATACAGGTGGTATTGCTGTTAAATGTATCGAGAAGCTCGCAAGTCATATTATATCGTGTCCTGCAAGTTTAACCATTAAATTTAAATACATGGACTCACAAGCACTTTGGTGCCAAATTAGTTTTAAAAGTCAATGAGTTTTATATAGACACCCAGCCCAAAAGTATCCATTCACAAACTTTAACTTTGTCATTACTGACATTATAAGACGTGATTAGACTGCAGTAGCACTTTATAATTAAAATACTTTCTTAAATTTCTGATAATCTGCACTACTGGAGACTAAAAACGGAAAACATTTAACGTTAATAAAACTTATTATTTTTCTAATACTAGAATAACTTACCTTTGGATGATTAGTTACCATACAATGTTCACAAACGTTCACACGATGTTCAAAACAAAACTGGTTTGTAACCTTTTTTTTGGGACACTTGCACAAGCCCATCTTATTTTAAATTTTTAATCCGACTCACTCTTCCAAGTAGGCAAAAGCTAACGTCAGTAGTAATACTAATACTAAGTATATATAGTATTAGTACTATAGAGTATAAATATAAGTTATAACTATAAAAGTACAAGTTATAAAATTTTTTATATCAATGGTATTTATTAAGGTAATTTAGAGCTTTACATTTAACACTATAAGTATAATAGTACTACTAATAGAAGTAGTACTACTAACTAGTGGCAGTAACGTACTTAATTTAGAATTTAAATTATTAATTGTAACACTAACACTAGTAACAGTACGGCTAGTGCTACAACACGGAATACAAATTCACCTTGTACTTTTTAGTTATAACTTATACCATTACCAGTAATTATTATCATTCACGAATATTTGCTCTAACAAAAATGTTGCGTATTAAACATTTTAAATGTTATTCAGTCTATACATCAGTATTATTCCGTAAATATCTAAAAATCATATCGATTTCCACAACTGATATATCGTTTAGTTTAAGCCTACTCATAAACCTCTAACTACTCATCTTGACGTTATTTCTGCCACGTAATTTCACATGGATATTAGAAAGTAGACATATAACCATGCGCCTGATGCGCACTCTAAATCGTTCGTAATGCATCAATTTTCGACTAGGATTTGAAATTATTGAAGACTTTTTGAACAATTGTAATCAAAGACTACTTGTATATAACATAATGATTTAGAAATTTACACCAGCATCTAAAATCGCATCACATAACATTGGCTAAAAAAAATTTAGTTAAAATTTTGTCCGAAATCAATAGTGCTATTTTGTTCTCAATGAATAACATACTTGACAAAAGTGCGATTATTATTAACGGTTTCTGATAAAAAAATAAAAAAAAAAACTATATAGATCACAAGTAAAATTAACTTATAAATTAATTAAGCTAATGATATGAAACAAACTAAGTAGAAGTACTTAATGTTGTAAATCAACACACAAGAAAATTAAAACTTATAATGATTAGAATGAATTAGTTCTTCAGTTTCGCGAAGTTCGGCCAGCTGAGATTTAGGTTAGTCCTTAATTCATATACTAAACTAACATATACTAAACTATAATTATAATCATACATGCAAAGAATGAGACAGCTTCATGGACAGTAGTATTACTAAAGTCGCTGATGATATTAAATACTAAGATAGCAATAAGAGTGGATTATTCTTAGAATGCTTCGCTTATTCATAATGTCTTTGATAACCTTAGTGATTGAATAAAAATATGGAAAATTAGTTTTAATACTAAGAAGTGAAAATATATGTACTTGGGTTCGTTTGTTTATTTGCAGTTATGCGTAAAGCCACACAATTGTCTATTTGTGCTGTGCCCACTACAGGTATCGAAACCCATTTTTTAGCCTTATAATTCTGTAGACTAGAAGGCATGTACTTGGATATGAAATTTTCACAAATATTTAATTCTCATTTGAGACTAGCACTGGTACTGTGGAAAAAAGAGAATGAAAAGGTTATTGTCAACCTTATATAAAATTTCGGTGGAGCCTTATTTGGAGTACTGTGTGCAACATTATTACAAGAAGAGTATCAAAGTGATGGAAAGAGTTAAGGTGTGCCTCTAGAATACTTGGTTAAAGCCATTTAAGTTACGACGAAAAGCTAAAATTTTTAAACTTGTTCTTCTTTATAGCTTAGAAAGATACGAACAATTGCGATTTAAGTAATCAAGTACTTTGTTACGGAATACAGTTATAAAAATTTGTGAAATTGTTAAACAGTTTTGGTTACTTTGTAAGTTAGAGGTAATCTAGATGAGACAAATGGTTTTCATACTACTTGCTTTTTCTCATATTATATGGTACAAGCAACAATACAACGTTAGAAACAGGGTTTCGATACTTGTGTTGGACAGAGCACAGATAGCTCTTTATGTAGCTTTGTGCTTAACTGCAACAAAACAAAACAAACAAACAAGCAACAACGTACCACGGAAGCTTTCTCCATCTGTTGCCATATTCTTGTACTAATTACAAACTACTACATAAATTGAGAAATTCTACAACTACTTTTGTCAACGCTATAGCCAAGTTGCTACTTGCCTACACAACATTGTTTTACTGAAGTCTGTTCTCAGCTATAGAAGCTTATTATATCTGCAGGGACCAACAGATTAGTTTAATCTAAGGATAACAAGTGATCAATTGGTTCTTCAAGACTGTACTTGGAAAAACGAAAAATTAAACCATGTCTATTCTTTACTGTTCATGAAATCATCTTAAACTCTTGTAAAGTTCTAGCCTTCATCACTGCTGACAGTGGCTCATTCCACAAGTCACCCACCATGCTAGAAAAATGTAACTGTCTTAGATTCGATGACGAGGAACCCACTTTGAAACTAATAATGGCTGGAGACGGCTTGAATGGGTAATG